TATTTCTCAAGAATCTCCTCAAAAGATCTCTTAAACATAAATACTCAATTAGTTACAAAGGGCTCCTATTCTGTATAAAGAAAAGAGGGGGAAAAATGCATCAAATTCAGCTTTGGGATAAAGTAGGTACAATCACATTGACTTCACTGGTGTTCCACACATCAACACCAGGATGACTGTAGAGCTTACCTGTGCAGATTTCTACTGCTGCTGAAATTTTGTTATTTACTCCTTGTTCACAAAGAGAAATGTGCTCTCCCAGCCAGCCCAAGACAATGATAAATATGAGTGAATTCCAGTTACACTGTTTCTCCATATAGCACTTGTAAAGCAGATTTCCTTGCTTTGTTATAGATACTGCATAGTGTGCAACAATAAAACATCTGTTTTTAATTTAAAATCCATGGTAAGTGACTCATGTCTCACTTCCTAGTTACTGGCTAGGCTTGCTGCATTGAACCTTGTAAAATCAGCAATAGCATTCATATGTCTACCATCGGAACTGTGTCATCTTCTATTACAATCAAACCTTAAATGATACAATGCTTTATCAAATTAGGCTACAGTCAGACCTTGGATTGGCTGCTTTCCTCCAGTGTTGCTGATTTTCAGAGATGATATGAGTCTTTCACATCCTCAGCGATCTCAGTGATTCTACAATGTTTCCCAAAGACAAAAGTCAAGCACTGGTAGATGGGATTGTTGCCATCAATAAAACAAACCACCAGATGATTTATCCACTCACATTTCTAGGAGACATTTCACTTATTTTTTTCTTTTATGAACAGAAAACAAGCTGCCCTGTGAACAGAAGTAAATTAAACTTTCCCCTTTTGCTCTGTTGGCCAGCTCCACTTGTTCTTTTTCATCTGTGCAAAGTAGAAATTAGGAGGTGTTGCACACACTAACACTGGTAATGAGAGCAACAATATTGACATGAATAAAATCTGCAGTTATAAGGACTTGTCCACTGCACATTTTTCAATCTTTGAATTTTCTGCTTTAATCCATTGTAAAATAAAGTGATGTAATGAGCTGACAAAACTTTAGTGGATAGGGTCATCAACATGCAAAAACAAATCCATTGTTTTACAGGTACCCAAATCAAGCTTTTCCCCCTCTTTCTCTCTCTCCCCCTCTTTTTTTTTTTATAAATAATTTATAAACCTTCCTATAAGAGACTAAGTACAAAACAAAACCAATGAAACCAATCAGCAAAAGAAGTTCTAAGATATTATTAAAGCCACTTCTTGTCCTTCCAAACAAAGGGAGCCTCTCCCATTTTCAGCTCGGGCTGGAAGCAATCGCACGGCCAGGGATGTCCTACCGTTGGCCATGCCCGGCCCCGGGTGAGCTCCCACCTGGCAGCTTGCCTCAAATGCCTCGTTCCACCTCCTGCCTTTCCACAGTCACGCAAGCTGCTCGGAGGAGTCCAAATGGTCGGGGATCGGCAGGCCAGTGATAATTGTCAAACACTTGTTCCACACGGTGAAGGTGGGGCACACAGGCTGTCCAAACGTAATGTCAAAAGTGTAAAGGTGTAGGGAGTTCAAAGCATCATAGAAGGCAAGGGAACCGTTGTCGTAGTCCAGCAAAATCCCAACGCGGCGGAGATGAGGCGCAGGCTCTATGGGAATTTCTTTGCTGTTGTGACGCACCACCCACGAGTTATTGCAGCGGCAAAGCACCCAGGAGGCAGAGTTCTTGCCAATCCACTCATGTTTTGGTGCCGACTTGTAAGAAATGCCAATGGCATACCTGTAAAACAAACACAGCTTGAGAAAACACATGCTTCTCACCATGCTTGCCTGTCAGTAAAGCCAAATGTTAGCTCAGGGGACTCGCAGGAGTGCCTGAGCCTCTTACGTATGCTGTTCTAATTAACTGAATTTCAGTCAGAATATCTGAACATGGCTGTTTTTCACAATCCCTCTTTTGGGTCTGAGCGGTCAGGGAAATTTTATTGTTTTCTGCATTGTTTGTAGTTTGGCTGCTATGGCAATTTTTTTGGATCATTTGTCTCTGATATTCAGAAGGAAAATTGCTGAGTACTGAGAAACTTAGAGTTTAAATCACTGGCCCTCACATTTCCAGTTCCAAACAGATGAATACAGAGGAATTCATTGATTTTAAAATGCATTACTATCTGTCAGCTAATCTGATCTCTCATTGCTCCTTTAATATATGGCCCAGAAGAAGGAATGCAAGAGTAGACATCAAAGTACACATTAGAAAAACTATTTTTGCCATTCCTAAATATGTTTTGCCAGATGTCGGTGTGGTTTTTAGATTCAAATGAGCAGATTTTAGACTGGGTACGGGGCCAAGGGAAGCACTGTAGGTGAAGACATTTGCTCTGCAAACCATAATTTATGGCAAGATGTACAGGGTAAGAGAATTGTGAAAATGTTCTCATTAATGAATATCCTGGGCAAAAATCTGATTTCTCCTACACAAAATAAATGTATATGTTCCTCACATTCTATACATACTCTAGTGCTTATTGAGCTTTCAACTTAACAGGAATTAACTTTCCATAAACTACTTTATTTTTATTCCTCATAGTTGGCACAAGCAAACAACATTCTTCTTGTTTTAAAGATACCGTGCAGAAGACCTTAATCATTTCCATTCTACTTTCCTCCATCGTAATTGCCACCTTTGAACCCCAAAGAATAACTTTTATTCCACTAACCAAAGGGAACCTCAAGTGTAACACAGAAGGTCAGTTAGAAATATGGAGTCCTTCATTCCCTGCCTCTTGTTTAACCCACTGGAACGCAGCATTACTGCTCCCTCCTCCCTCCTTAGAACCAGATCTGACTTCCAGTCCTGTGAAACAGGCTCATCAAAGTATCCTTGTGTTTTTTCTTTTTTTTTTTCCTTTCTAAACTTCACTAGCATCTTTTATGTTTGATACAAGAAAAATCTGTCACTTACAAACTTTAAAAGTTCATTTTTGTGATGTAAACAAGAAAAAGCTTGTTCTCCAATTCATTAAAAACGTAAGACATATTTTATAGTTCAAAAAAACAATCATCTACAATCATGGAGGAGAAATCACTTGAAGGCTGTTAAATATAGATATATTCTATCCGGTCTATGAAGTTCCAGAGCCACATTTTGCTGGAGGCTGTGAAAATATCCTGAAAAAAATATCTAAAAGTGTATGACTGTCATGTTCCCTATGTCTCTGCTACTCTGCTCTGCTCTGCTCTGGCCTCTGTCAGTGACACCTGGATGGACCTCTGGTATGAACTAGTGGATCATTTCAAATATTCTCATGTACATACCATGTGCTCCCACTTATAACCACTTCCCAGTAATGACGTCCACTGTCAATAAACACGTTGCCAGCTACCCCGTAGCTCCCTTGGCTTGTGAAACGCTCGGGCGTGTGGCTCTTTTTGGAGGATGTTTCATCACGTTCCACTGTCAAGTTATCGTGAGACACTTTCAGTTTTCTATGAGCAGATTTGGGATCCAGTTTAAACGGCTGACCTAGATATGCACAGACAAAGAAGGCAAAAGAATAACTTAGTTTCCATTTTAAAAAGGGTGGTAGATTAGAGAGCCTGTAAGAAGCATACAAAATTACATAATCGTATTAATCTCCTTCTCTGAAGCATCCTCAAGATAGACTAACCTTCCCTGCTCCCTACACTCGTTTTCATTGCCAGTTTATTGTCAGTCTCATGGTGCACTAACTTCCCTGCATCGATAATCCCTGAAAGGAGCCCTGCATAATCATCGTGCCCATTATCTGCAACTCGGAGGTAACCTGACTACTCTAATTCTTGCATGTAATTGAAACCAATATACATGCTAATAAAGGTCTGAGAGTTGCTTTTTTTCACAGCATATTAGACTTTACAATAAGTTACGTTCTTTTAATTCTCTAGGGATAAAGTTCCATAATAACATCTTTATCATTACCCCAAAACAGTATGATTAAAAATACCACAAAATGTGTTTGAAAATGAGAATGAGCACTACCCTTGTCTGTTCATTCACTCATGGCTTTATTTATAAGACGAACAGTTAACAATTTGAGATCATATTGGATGGACACCTACGTGGTGCTATAGTGCTGGATAAAAGAAGGAAGTGAACTGCGACTCAGTCCAAATAATATGGTTGAAAAACATTACTGAGGTTGTTGCTCTTGGCAAGTATCCTGTGCTGTAGCACAAGGCTTGTAGACAATAACAGGAAGCATTTTGGTAAACCGAACCCTGTAGATGATATGTAAAGTCTGCCACTATTTTGACAAGCTAGTTCATCGTGTCAAGAAACGGAAAGATCATTTACCTCCTCAAGGAGACATCTAGGAAACTCTGACTCTAGGAGTGATACAGCCAAACCCTTATCCCCTTTTCTGTTCTTACTGCCTTTCATATCAAGGAAAAAAAAAAAGAAAGTGGAAGATTTGGTGACATGAATAGAAAAGAGAATTGAGAGCTCTCATGAGGTCTGTGACCTGATGGCATTGGCACATGTATACTTCAATTAAGACGTGAATTATTCAGTGTTTGTGAAGGAGCAGTTAACTAATTCTTAGTCAGTAAAACTGAAAGTATTACTGTTGGACTAAGAAGAAATGCAGCTGATCTGAACAGTAACAGACAGTATATTTTGTTTCAGATCTTCAGGAAATCTGACATTGTAGACATCTAAAATGAAAAAAAAAATAATACTAATTCTCTTTTGATATTGTTAGGCATAGGTCCGGAATTAGCTAAGGAGTGGCTATAATTTTAGGGGTATACTGTACTTTAATAATATATATTTAGTTATGCATTGCAATCAAGTGAAGTGTATCTCTTAGAAAGTATCAGAGGGCATATTTTATCCACTTTTTCCTACCTTTGGGTAGCACTAGAGTACCTACAGTATGTCTCTCTATCTGACAGTAGTCTTTGTACTGTCGAAGCAGAGTCTGAAGGATTTATTTGAACTGAGCTGAATTTGGTCATGTCATCTTTCACATTTTCTGAGAGCGAATATTACTTCTGAGCCATTCTGGGTCACAAAAGGGCAAAAGGATAAAGGACTGCCATTTCCAAAAGGGTTCCCTGATCTTATGCCTGCATGTAGGTTACTATATTTAGCAATACACAGATTCTTGGTAGCAGATGTGGTATGTTGGTAGCAGACATTGGTATGAGTGCCTTTTGCACAAGAGTGCAGGCCAGGTATAGAGCAGACAGAGAAACTCAAAAGCTAGGACATGCCATCGCCTGCAGCAACCACTATCCTCCTTCTGGCAGCATCCAATGCCACTCTCCTCAAACACCACCTGCAAGAAGCAGGTTTCAGACAGTGCACAAATCCCAAGGGTCCCTTCCCTGTACTTAAAGTTGCTCATAATGAATAATGGACTGTAGGGGCACAGGAAAAAAAAAGGTTGGAAACTAGTCTTAAATTTGCTGTACTCAGTCTGCTAGCTAGTTGCATAACCATGCAACTCATGCTTTTTAAAGCTAGATCTCTGACTCTACCACCCTGTTGAACTACCTAATAAAATGAGGTGAATGGTGCTAAGAAAGTTACCAGTTTCCTAATATATAAAGACCTTTGGGAGGATAAAAGTTAGCTAACAAGTATCTTTATATATACACTTAATAACAATAAAATGTTTTATTATAAGTAGAAGACTTTGGTTTGTAAAGGAAAAAAGATAAAGAGGATATTAGAACAAAAGCACAAAGGAGTATTTTCAGTCATTTCATATGTGACAGCTTCATTCCTCAAATATATTTCCAGAGACAGATATAGATGCATGTCTAGGAAAATAAAAAAACATTTCTGCACTACCCTGACAATCTTAAATTGAGTGGCATAAGTGGTTCTCCTTATGGAAAGCACTTTAAACAAGTTAGTTCTCATTGCACTCTTGCACCTTTCAAAGATCAGCCCCCTAAAGAAAGAGGAGAGAGGAGAGGCATGTGTGTGTGCCGGATTGCACATTACTCACTGTTTGTCTTGAGTTTGCCGGGCTCGCTGTTTCTACTGCCAGCCTGATTAATGGCCTTTACAATGAAGATGTACTTAGTGCCACTCTGTAACCCATGCACTGTGTAGTGGTTTTGTTTGATATTAGGCACAATCATCCAGCTGTCGGCTGAGTTACATAAACCTGCAATTTCAAACCAAGCACATTAGTCATAACACACAAAATGCTTTGCAACAGAGGGACATTTAGAGCACTTCTGAGCACAGAATGACCGGTAAGAATTCTGCTTCCATACCTTTTAAAGTGCTGTTACTTTTTAGCAAGTTGCTATTTATTTCCACTAACTTATTTCATCAGCCCTCAATCAAGGTACCTTTTAAGTTCTCGCTATGTGAAGTCAACCATAAAAAGAAAAGGACATTTAAGAAATGATTCAGTGGAAGAATTGGCAGGCTGGGAATTTTCATATCCCAACACAAGAATTCTTTATTGCTTAAGTACTCGAGAATTATGGAGAACCCATCAATTTACTTCTTGGGTTAATGAACTCAGTTTAAGCTTTAAGACTAACATAAGCAGTAATGCTAGAAGGGGTGTTGAGGCACCTTTGCTGACAGCCCCCAGGTATGCATTCCCGGAGCAAACCACTGGAGGCCAAACTGGGCAGAGCAAGGGCTCAGAGCAAGCTTTGGCTCTCACACTCCACACTTTGCCAGGATGTAACTGAAACTCTTATAATTTATTGGACGTAACTTTTGTGATTTATTTCCTTATGGCTAAATGTCAGCTGGGAAAGAGCTGGATAATTTTCCAGTTACGAGATTTTTTTTGGATCTGCTTGATGCCTGCTAATTCTTTAGTACAATATGGTAGGAACTAAGTAAAGTAAGGGGCAGAGAGACAATATAATCTGCAAAATACAATACTCCCTGAGATGAATTTACTCACCCATATAAATCTTTTCTACTACACCATAACTGCAACATCAGTATAACAGCTCATGGTCAAACGGAACCATAGTCTTATAGCTCTCTATATGCAACCTTGTTATGAATGTTTATACAATTAACAAAGTTAACATCCATAAAATGTATATATCCTCACAACGATTTATATAGTTATACAGATAGAGAGACAGAAACGTATGCATGCATGTGCGCATATTAGGTTGGAAAACATGAAAGAAAATCCTTGCCTGGATCAGAAATCTTACAGCCTTTTCAGTTTCTGTTGTTACTGGGCATAGAATATATTATGAAATCTACTATGATGTTAAACCACTTTTCAGCTTTTAACTCATATTTTAGCAAGAAGCCAAAATAAAAAGTACTACTGATCTGTATCTTTTGAAAGTTAGTGGTAATTTCAGCTCTGTATATTAGTCAATAAAAACTTCTATGCAAAGTAAAAATCAAAAGGTTACTGAACACAAAAATTTCAAAGAAAAATACACAGTATACCTTTACAAATTCATAGATTATTCATAACCATCTTGGAAAAATCATTCCTAATTTGGGATGTGTGTTTCTTATTAAGGGATTGTTAGTAATAGAATTATAAACCAAATTTTAATCGAAGAAAGAAAGAGCTTTTGTCTCAAAGTTCTCTTAAAATTAAAACATCAATTGTTTATTGATGTTACAGAGCATCCTTGAGAGGTAGGCAGCTTTTAATCCTATTGTGCAAAGGGAAAAGGGAGGCACAGTTTCAGGTGAGATTCATGTCACCTTGTCATCTAATGAAAAGATACAATGCCTAATCTATTTTTTCTCAATGTTGAGGGGAGACAGAAATGAGTGAATGGTTCATTCCACCTTTCCAGGTGAGAACATCCTACCACAAATGCTTCTTTCTATAACAACGAGGAGCCCAAGGTGACCATCTTAGATGACAGCTCCAGCTTTGGAGAGCTGACCTGAGGTGAAAGGAACTCTCCCCTCCCTACATCGATTTGAACTCTCAGTCTCAGGTTGAGCCCATGTTTGGAGTCTGACCTTCAGACTGTTCTTCTCACTGAGCTGTAAGCTCATCCTCCAGTTTTCAGATTGCAAAGACCAGAATTTGAAGGACAGGTGATATCCAACATTTCTCCAGCCTGTAATGTCTCATCAAGAACATATTTTACTCTATTAACTACTGCTAAGGTGAATAGAAACTGGGATTTACAGGCTCACAGAATCACAGAATGCTTAAGGTTGGAAAAGACCTCTAGAAGTCAGCTAGTCCAACCCCCCTGCTCCAGCAGGGACATTTACCAGAGAACATTGTTGTTGTTCTCTTAAAGGAGAAGAGAATGGGTTCTAGTACCTCCTTCATGCTCCAACCAGTGAGCATCTTGGCCACATGTATTCTCCCTAAATATCAACTACAAGGGATTTCTGAAAGTGTGCTATATCTGAAAAAAAAAAAAAGGAAAAAAGAAAAACAACTTTGCAGCACTCAGTTTCTCCCAAAACTGTTGAAAAAAGTAGACCACATAGAGTCATCATCTATCTCTTGAAAACAGAACCTAGTGTTATTGCTCACAAGAACTCCACTTGTACCTGTGGTAATGTGCCTACGGCAGCATCAGTGTATGTCCTGCTTTATGCCTAAACCATAGGGAACCTATTGAGTGGAATTTTCCTTTTAGTCTGGAAGAGAATAGTATTCCAAAGCAACGGTTTATCGTATATAGTCAACATATAAACAAATCCTTGAGCTGACACAGAAATGCCCAGATTTTTTTCGAAATCATCTGGAAACTAAAAATTTGTATCTATCACCTCAGTTCTCCAGTCAAGGTACTTTTTTTCAGACTAGTATTACATTTCTGATGTTACTCTCCACAGGCTTATTTCTGCTTAACAGAGTATAAAACTTGTAATGAACTCACAACATATCCTGAAACTACAGATCCAAAATGCTTCAGAGTGAAGAAAAGCAACTATCGACAGGTAAAGTTTTTTAGGTATAAAAGAATATTTTGTGTCTGCATAAAAAAAAAACGTTTTCGGTTCTGACCTATAAGCACAGCCTTTTTCTCCTTTTCTCTTTTAATGAAAAAAAAAAAAAGAATGAGCAGGGAAATGAGGAAATAGAGAGGACATGCCGTCATTCGGGGATAACATTTGCATTCTTGGTTCCCTGCCGGTGGCCACAGGTTAAGTGGAAAAGCACACCTCTTCACTGCAGTAGCAGTAACAGCTAAGTGTCCACTATTGTACCCAGTCCTTACCCTGGATAGATTAGGGTTTCTTGTTTCCAAGGCTCAGAGCTTTTTTGCAGGGTCCTGCAGGTGGAAAAGCAATGTATTTTAAAACTGTAACCTACAAAAATGTTGAGAATTTAAATTACATCCTGGAACGGTGCAGTGAGCACAGTGATGTCCATACAGGATGTGTGAGGTTTCAAAACATGTTTCTCAGAATCTGGAGGTAATAATTTGTAAAGCTATTTCCCTGGCATTAGCTGCTGATGCACTTTAAAAACCAGATGGGAAAAATCCCAAGGTGTAAATCCTCCTAAAATTTACACTGTTTGATTTTAATAAAATACACCTTTTTAGAAACCAGAAGAGGAGCACATAAGTCATGAGAAGGTTATTTAATCTCTTGAGCATTTTAATTATTTTAAATGCTTTCTTTCAATAAATTATTACCATTTCAAACTAGTAGAATAAAAACTGTAGGTAAAGTTGACAGATATATAGTCTCTCTACCCCCACTCTGCATTCCCACATGGATGAAAATAATATATGCAGGATTTCTGCAAAACACATAGCATTTTTTTTTTTTTTTTAGAAATACACTTTTTTGATACTTTCCAAGGCATAGATGTTTTCCTGGTTTTATCCTGAACTTACTTTTGTACCACTGGAACAGACTAAAAACCTCAGTAGCGCTCTTAAGACTAAGGCATCTATTTTTAATAAATTAAGTCGTATAGAAAAAAACGATAGCTAGAAGTTTCAAAAGCTCATGGGTGAATCATAAACTCACTGTTTTTCAGGAAAGCTTGCACTTTTAATTTTCTTAAACCCTTCTACAAAATTGTATCCTTTCTCATAGGAACAGTAACTCTCTAACTAAGGAAAGGTTCTGACGGTCTACTGTATCCTTAATAGAGTGAATTTTAATATTTAATAGATATAAGTAACCTAATCCCAATGACCAAGAAAGAGTTATTTACTCTTTTTGTCTTGGAGAGAGACATGTGTTTTCATGAAGGTTTTTTGTACTGCAGCTAGTAAGAAACTGAGTGTTTAAATTTTAACCTTACTGAAGCACACTCAAGCAATTTAATGATATCAAAAATATACAGAAACTCGATAAATACATGAAAATTTATTGTAAGAGGATAATGCAATTTTAATGCACATTAACTAGGTAGTTACAAAGTCATTCTGAAAGCTTTTATAATATTCAGATTGCAGGTGATTAGTAGCATCTTGGAATTGCAAATGTGTGAGTAGTATAGCTCTGTGAGCAAATGCTTTAGTATAAGTGCCTAATTTAAACACCTATATTATTTTTATGCATCAGAAAGTGCTGTCAAGCATATAGTAACCAAGCAGATTGACCACATTTGGAAATAATCTTTCCTGTATGAAATAGGATTCAAAATGAAATACTCTTGCTGGATATTTTCCACCAAAATTTAACTCCCCAATTTTTCAGTTAATAAAAAGAGAATATAGTTGATTATGTTGGATAGAAAATACATTAGAAAAACATAGCATTGCTTGTTTTTGTTACTGCATTCATAGCAATCCCTGAATGATATATGCCTCTAATGGGGGAAATGTACCGAGGAGTGGAAAGTGCAGTCAGTCTGACTCTGTGGTTTTAAGAAATGGATTCCAAAACAACAATCTCCATTAACACAGTAGGTGGGTATGTATGCAAAGTGATCCCCACTGTCTCAGGGGAAAGAAGCTTGTTGCTGTAACACTGTACTCAAGCTACTCTCTTGTGACTAATTCATCACTATACAGAATTGAAAGATAATCCATAAATCTATTTACATTCTCTGTTACAGGTAACCCACATGACCAGCAGCAACATTGGGAGATGTGGCAGAAACAGAAAACAAAATTACGTGCAAGAAAATGCAAATTTCTTAAACAGAAATAAATCTGTGCTCATCCACGCTCTATTGCAGTAAAATAAATTTTTAAAAAATCACATAGTATATAAAGGTTGTGATGCAGCATAGTAACTTACAGTGAAAATATCCCTACACATTATATCACATTATTATAGCACACTTGAAGAAGTCAGCTTTCCCATATTCTAGGGATAACCTTTTAAGAACATCTACAACAGCGGAGAAATTAAACTCTTTTATAGGATAAAGTATAGAATTCTAGCAAAGAGAAGTAACTTCCTCAGTAAAATCAGGTTGCTAGTGAGAAAATCTTTAGTATCTATGGAAGCTGGAACAAACTGGAATAATCTTGTATGTAGGAAATCTGGACAGATCTGAAGAGCTGTATTCCGAAAAGAACAATTAGGCTAGTTCTCATATTGCATTGGTGTAAAATGGTTGATTCCAGAAGTCAATAGGGTCATGGTGATTCAGACCTGGTATGTTATACAATGGCTTGATATGGTGCAGAAAAATCATGTCTCCTTTCATTTCAGCTGTTAAGAACATTTTATAAATAGAACTTCTCAAAGAGTTTTCATATGAGACTTCTTTTCTCTTTGATCTTTTAATGGCACCATTTTTGCAAATCATCAGTGATAGCATTGAAGTTCAGATTGCATAGGGAGCACTTATGTTATGTTCCCCAAAATTAATATATTGCATCAAAAAAAAAATCTATCCGCTTTGCAGATCAAAGCTTTTATTTCCACATGGGAAAACTTATAATAAAGCCTCAAAAGAAAGTGAGTATTTATTCATTAGTAAGTAAAGAGCAAAAGTACATATCACAAAAGTGTGGAGATAGCACATCGTTCTGCGGTTCATACACCATGCCAGCACCCGACACACCCGTATCTATAGCATGCCTTCTTGCATAAAGGCATTGATAAAAATGGGTCAGAAACTAAGAAACATGCCATATTATCATTGTTTGTTTATTAGTGATTAATCAGAGAATTTTCTCCTTCCTTGTCTGCCAGCCTCCATTCCTTCAGGATTACTATTAGACCCTTTTTCTATCCAGTTTCATCACACACAGAAGCTTGTACTGAGGTTTACTTGGTCTTTCTAGTGAAGAATCTCAAATTTTTGAATGTGTTGCCAAAATTAGGTTGCTAAGAAAGATACTAAATGGAGACTTCCAAGAAAATACTAATCAAACTTTGAGTAATTCTGAATCATAAGATAGTCACAGTATGCTATGTAGAAATGGTGCTAAAATACCAGCACCTAACTCCTTATAGATGGCTTGGAGGGCTGCCTCCTGCTTAGTGATGGAGAAGCTGAGGTGCAAAGAAACAAAAGAGTCAGTGCAAGAGTATGGTTCAGTACTGAGATTTGGCATAGACCATGCGATTTTTGCATGGATATGAAGTATGTTAACATGTCAACAGCACTTTCATCAAAACATTGCAAAGCATTTTATGAGAACAATACCACTGTTGTACTGGGTCAGAGATAAACCTATCTACGGGGGCATCCGAAGGCAGTCAAAAGCAAGTGCCTCTGAAGGTGTTTTAGAAAATGGAAAGCATATATTGATCACCCAGCAGTATACTCTCCCAGGCTCCCACAGTTTTCAGCTCTGAGACTTCCTGAGCCACGAGGAAGTCTTTACACTTCATTGTTCACAACACCTTTTTCTCATATGATCTATCCAGTCATCTCCTGAATCCACACAAACTTCTAATCAACAGTCCTCTATGGCAATGAGTTTCACAATTTAGATACAAGTTGACCAAAGAAACTCCTCCTTTTATTTACTTTGATTAATTTCAAACTCCTGCAGTCTCGTAAAGCAATGCCACATAAAATACTCATAACATATGGGGAAACAAAACAGGAAGAAATTAAATGACTTTTCTAAAAAATCATAGTTAGTCAATGATCATAATACACAGAACCCAGAAGTATTAACTTCCTAGCCAAAGTTTAGACAATATGGTTTTCTCAGAGGAAAAGTTATTTAACAGCAGAACAATACAAGGAATAACCAGTAAATTTGTTCATTCAGGAAAATCACAGATTCAAAACAGAGGGCGTACTTAATACAAGTGTGCTACAATAAGAAAGAGCAAACAGTGTTAGTTAATGTCATTGTAAGTCAAAGTTACCATATTAATCCTTGTTCCACTGATATTTGCTCCTTTAGCCTTTGATATACTAACAGAAATCTATGCTCTGAAGCCTTGCAGACAGTGCAAACAACTAGGAAGAACTTAATTTATATTTCTGACAAAAAAGGAGTTATTAAAGGTGCCATTTCTAACTGATGGCCAGTTAGACATAGGCTCCTAAATGCCTCACTGGCCTTGGCAATGCAATTGGAGTTTTCATCTCTGTGGTTACAGTAAGGACCTTACAACATAAGACATAAATCCTGTTAACATGGACAGTACTTGTATCACTGATTATATACGCTGGTTCTAGTCTTAGTAAGCTCTCACTGCTTTGTAACTACCAGTAACATACCAGACATTTTAATAAGATGAATTTCAAATTTTAAAATCCTTTGGAATTATTACTATTTCAGATTTAAAAAGCAGACAATTGGCTGTAAAACTTTCTAGAAAATATCTTTTTCATTTTGCTTTTGATGTGTGAGTGCATTTATATTTAATGTGTTTTGAAGAGAAGCTGTAAGCAAACAGAACCAGAAATAAAATGATTGATACTCACTAACAACATTTGCTTGTCCAGTGAAGATCGTGTACTGCAGCTCATAAGAGACCACACTGAATTCATCATCCGATGTCCAGTGAACAGTAATCGTATCATAAGAAGCTGTACAGAGCTCTTCTCGAATGGTGGGAGGGTTGGGAGCTGTGAGATATTGAGAACAAGCAGAAGGCTTACTGAAGCAAGCAATAAAATATTTCTCTTCTCACCTGAGATTAAGGGATGCAGCTGATATGTAAGTTTGCAGATATACTGCCCAACAAATCTTTTTGCCTATCCCAGTGATAACTTAAACAAAACAAATCATTGCTGAGGAATTCTTACTACCAAATGCAATCACCTAGAAGTTCCAGATATTGAAAATATTTTGTATTAAATCAGCTTTATCTAGAGCTAAAGCTGCAAGTGATGTGTTGGTTGTCACATTAAACTGTGTTTGACAGCACCCAATTGATACATTAATTTTGCTAGGTTTCTTTCTGATCACTATGCTAAAATAATTATTTCATTGTTTTGTTTTTTCCTTTTGATTTTGAAGCAGTATTTGCTTTCCCTGTCTTGACAGAGATGGGCATAGGTTCAATGATGAAATATTCAAAAAATGTCACTTTGGGACATCACTCAGTCATGCTTTCATGCTCGATTTTGCCTTCTCTTCAAGTTCATTTTTATTTATTCCCTAGCTAGCCTATTTAATATACATGCATATAATTTCTGCTGCTTATACAATTCAGTTTTTCAGTCTTACATCAGGCATTATTACCCTACCTGGATTTACAGCTATTACAACCTGAACTTCTATATCATTACTAATTATATAATTCCAGAAAACAATCCAAACATTTTAATAAAAAAGTTGTCACTCTGTTTCCTTTTCTAAATCAATAAAACGGAATCACTGCCCTCTCTCTGTGCACCAAGCTACACATTGTTCTCACATACAAAACACATAGGTTTGTTTCAAAGACCTCTTTAAAGAATGGCAACTAGAAACAAACTTCTCAGGTGTGAACTTCCCTTGCTTGCATTTTCTATATAAATAAACAACTTAAAAAAAAGAGTAAATGGTGCTGATTATTATGTGAAAGTTTATTAATTGAATTTAGCAACCTTCTCCAACTGTGTGCCTATACAGACTACTCCCACAAATCAGTGATGTTGCATTTTACCATTAACTAAGCCTACATGCTACAGAGAGAGATCATGCACAGAGCCTAAAGGAGTCTGTCCCCCTGGCTTCTAGGGCTGGGCAATGCTTTGAAAGACTAGTGGGCCGCCCTGCATGTTTATCTTAGTGGGGTCCCCTTTCCTAATTGTTGGCCCTGTGTGCCACCACCATGAAGGAAAACAACAACACTCAGTACAGTTCCTCCCAGCTATAACAGAGCCAGGAGGGAGGAAACTCTAGGCTAAACAACCAAAATATACCTGAATTAAAGGAAAAGGAAGACAGCTCTGGCTGAGTATTTTTGCAGTCAGTTCTTCAATAATAATAGCTCCAGCAACAACAAAAAAACCCTCCTCTTTTCCACCTTTTCCTGAAAAGGAATTCCACCTTTGCTTCTGCAGCAACCTATTTCTATGAATCATCTCTCTTATTTTCACATTAACAATTAGTATAGTTTATATTCCTGTTTTGCTGATGCATGTTCCCAAGAATAAAAATGCAGACACGTTTCCAAGGAGCCTTTTTCAACCGTGAGGCATAAGGAAACATTCAGATGTGTTTCATGATATGACCATGATTTGTAATGCTCTACATATTGTATCACAGAAGGTTACCATTTTTTTTTCGTTTTTTTCCTTCAGTAGAGCATCCCTTGAGACAGATGGATATTAATAGAGAGAGATAAAAAAGAACTAAAATAAGAAAAGTCATCCCAAGAGGGCATGTAAACACAAGGAGAAAACAAACAAACAAACAAACAAAACCCACAATCTTTTGCAAAGTCTAGCACTGCGAATTATATGGTAGGTACTGACTGAGGCTAACTGTTGTAAAAGCCATATAAGGTAATATTGTTCTTATTAGCTATATCGGAAACAAGTTTCTAGCCTGATAATCTATTTTAGTTATTTTAAAAGTTTCCTTGTAGATGAGAATTCATTTTCATATTTTGCCTTTCCTGCAAGGGCAAATAAATAAATAAATAAACGAAAGACATTTCTTTACAAATATACAAGTGGATCTGATTTTTCTGAGATATATTTAACCAAAGCTGTCTTCAGTCTTTTTATGAAGCTAATAGAATGAAATTCTATACCTAAGAAATGTACTTGTCCCTTCTGCAACATAGATAATAAGTAATAATTTAATGAAAAGAACAATAACTGAATGTTTAATGAACTATAAGTTCATTAAACCATGGCTACATTTCAATAGCACCTTAGTCCCTTCAATTCTTTGAAAAAGACAGCTTAAATTCTCCTTTTGTTTGCACACCTGGCAAATCTTACACAAGACTGGAGATTTACAGGCTTCCATGAAACAAGAAAAACAGATATTTGACCTAAGAAGAATGTCTTCTCTCTTGTACTTTTATCTAATCTACACCCACCTGAGACTACAGTGTATGAAACACAGTTTTCCAGCAATATTTATGTCGTAAACAACTCAGAATAAAAATAAAAAATATCTGCTTCTTCTGCAGGGAAGTTTCTGTACAAATGATTTGTTAAGACTTTCAAAATATGAAATCCGGCTGAAAAAATCATTATTCCACATGAAATACTTCTTTGTAGGGTGTAAATCCATAAATTAATTAAAGAGATTGACTTTAATCAGCTATCTTCACTGTCACAGCTATATATACAGAGCTCAGATGCCACAACGAAAGTGCTACTGAGAGTCCAGGGCGAACTCATGCGTGGCCGTGTGGTGCACCCTTCCACATGTGGTGTGCTCCGTCCAGAATGCTTAATTAAACAGCAGGAGAATGATCCTAGTGTTGCATACCCAATGCTGAAAGACATAAAGCCTCAAAGTCCACCCTTCAGTCTTGTTCCTTGATGGAGCTGTAGTGCCAGCTCTTCCAGTCCATTTCAGAGTGAGGTCAGAGCTCTGACTCATGGACATAGCAAGACTGAAGTTAGACAACTGATGCTGTTAATATCCTCAGCTGTTTTCTGCCTCCTGTCCACAAACTGACACGCAGTTTTAGGGAAAGATGAAAAAAAAATGTAATGTGAAGTCGTTCTTGAAACACCAGAATTTATAATTTGAGCAGTGAGCACCTGAAATCAGTGTCAGGTGACTTAGCAAGCCACCATGAAAACTGCTGCCGTTCAAGCAAGTGCTTCCCAATGACAACAGGTCTTCTTGGTGTGGCATTCTCCATAAGAGGACCAGGTCAAACACCTGTGAGTGGTAGCTGCTAGAGTCGCTTTGACTTTCCTTCTCTTGCACTCATGAATCAACATTCTGACGAGAGTTAAAATCATTGCTGAAGGCTAACTTTGTTCTTTTTGTGACTTTGACTCAGAACTGAGGAGACACACTCACATAGTCAGGAACCATATCTGAAGAGCCTGAGAGGCAATAACTAATATTAGAAAAGCAGACTGCTAATTTTCCTCCCAGAAATAACTGACTTTGTTAGCATACCTACTCTCTTTCAGGGAAAAGTCAATCAGGTTAGTCTAATCCACCTTCCACTCAATGCCATTTGCATGGCTTTGCCCTGAAGCAGACTGAAAGCATTCCAATGGTCCATTTACTTAAGATGCAGCTTAAGCTGCCATTTCTCATTGATGAGTCCCAGCATGAACGTGGTGGCTACTGGATGACTGTTTCTAGTTCCTTTCAGTGCAAGGTCACACAAATTTGCTCAAAATACTTCAACATCCTTTCATTTGTTTGTCCTCCAACTCCCTGCTGGAATGAGATGATTGAATTTGTAAAGGTTTCTTAGTGATTTTAAACCTAAATAAAAGAGGAAGATGTAAGCCAACACTTTGACCCAATGTTTTCTAGAAGTGTTCACGTTGTCAGCTATGAATTTGAGGGAGATGAGAAAGCTGCTCTGAACCTCTCTTAGTTAATTACTGGCTCCTCAGTGTGTTATTACACTAGACCAAAACAGTATGGAGGAACGTGAGATGCACAGCTACATCAGACCTTTTCAAAAACAACTGAGTGAAAATAGATTACACTCAAAGCATGATAATGAGCTCACTGGAGATGGCTTCTGGTCTTACTGAAAGAAAGTTTGGAGGAAAGGTAGGTGGTGAAGGGTTTCCAGTATAAAGTCACTCTGATGTGAAGAAACATTTGGCATATGCTGGTGATACATACATATAAGTGTAGTCACAACTAAAGTGATGTATGAGGAAAATGTATCCTTGTTTTAGAAGGGATTTCTTGTGAAAGGCATATTGCAAGATCAAAGAATAGGTATTGCTAGAGCTGAGATTCAAAATAGCAAGAATTAGGACAGGACTTTTTGATACCCAACGGACCAAAACAATCTTTAATATTGCACAGAAAGGATGTACCCATTGTAGGTATGGTCTGTAAATATCCAGATACAGGTGTAGGTAAAAGAGGAACTCCAGATGATAGATTTGAGCAGCAAGCAAGTTAAGAAAGCTTTCAAAAGAAAATAGATACACGGGAAAGAAGAGTCAGAGGGAGATCGAGAGTAGTGTTTTACTATATTGAGCTTGTCTTCTCAGTGTCTGGCTAGAAATTTTCCAGAAGGTATCAGAGATTGTCATTTAGATACCAGAAGCTTTGTACAGACAGATGCATAAATCAGCAATACGAAGATAAAGTAGTTAAATGAGTATTTGTGAATGAAATAGCCTAGAGATGATCTACAGAGGAAGGAAGAAGGAAAGATGCAAACTTCAATGAGTCACACAGAAAACCGGGCGGGGAGGGGGAGGGGACAGATGAAGAAGATTTGGCAGATCACACATTGAGAAGGGATCAAAGGATAAGAAAATTTCCAGAATACAACCTTGGTCAATTGTTTTGAAGGCAAACGACGGCTAAGCGGATGAGGCTGGATTTGAGCTTTGACACTGTCTTTAGAAGTAGTAGAGATGACAGATAAAATGCAGGCTTCTTCATTTACTTAGCAACACAGGCCTATCAGTAGGAATTACAAATGGTCTTCCTTTTATTTAAATCTGTCAAACATGATAGAAGTAAATCTTGATTCTATCATTCAGTTTTCAGAGTAAGAGCTACCAAGATTCCACTCATCAATCTGAAAGGTGTAAAATAAATTAGCATTCAGAGTATCTGAACAACAACAGAGAATGATCAAATGTATTTGACTCTTGGGATTATACATATACACATATGTATACACATACTTAAATATATGTAAATAAATCATTTTAACAATCTGGATAAATTTTATGCTCAAATAATTTGGATTTGTGGTTTGTATTTTGTCATTGCAGCCATATGCTATTTATTAATGTGAAGAAAAATACTACATCTGACAGTCAGAGAGGGCTAAAAGTGTTTTTCACTGGCCATCTAGGGCAAAGATGAAAATAATAGATTAGTAACTGCTCAATATATTGAGAATTCCTTTACACTGAATTGTGGGTAATTTCTCAAGCCTGAGATTGACGTAGGAAATGTATAGGTGGCACAGCAAGCATGATGGACCACAGAAAAGATCTTCATGGCATTGAACCTGTGGCAACAGTGTCCTTCATTCTGGGACTGAAATGATCGTCATTTTCAGCAGTGAACAGCAATTAGACTGGTAAGTGGGCATGTGATGTGCAAAGGGGAGAAGACTGAGGTGAGGGGGAGAGATCGCTAGATGGAATTCACCCCCCCAATGCTCTAAAGGTTCAAAATGCAATTATCTAAATGCGAATGAGTCATTTTAGCCTCTCTTTAGAGCTAATGGAGAAATAGGCTCCTCCAGAACTGTGTCATTTGACCTGAGATATATGCCTTAAAATGAGGCAGTAATTCCTCTTCTTTCACTATAAAGCAAGTTGAGGGTGATTATTTTACATTTAGATTCCTAAGTTAGGGCAAATAAGTCTGGCTTTTTGTTATTCCTCCCTTTTATTCCCTTGGCTTTTTAGGTTTTATGTTACAGTTTTGGGATGAACACTCAATGCAGAGGCAAAATTCCAGGAGACTTTGGGGAGAGCAGGATTCATTTCACCGGCAGGCTAATATTTCATTGGTGCCCTATAAAAAGGAGCAACTGACTCACACCATGGTATTATCGTCTATTATTTACTTGGGTATGTGTTAAACACTGATTGTATTCATCAGTTACACGGTGCTATGAACATTTCTTGCAGCTGAAATCCCTCATTAAAGATATGCCAAAAAATCCACAGCTATATAAGGCAAGGGTGGTGCTGCCCTGTGCATATAGCCTTGCTCCAACTAGTATTCATTTGTCCTCCTGCAGAAAACCTAGAAATTAGCTCTCTGCATGGCAAACAATCCAAATGCGGGCAATGCAGAGACTCTTCGTTCTCACATTCTTCTGAAATACCACGGGCACATCTCTTTCAAACTGGGCTAAGAGAATGGGAGCGGATGAAATTTTTAAGTGGTTTTCTAACAGCGTTTTATGTCTTTCACCGCACATTCTCACTGTTTCCAGCGCATGCTTAGAGACATGGCTAAATGAAAACCTACTCCCTGTCTCTTCTGTTTTCAATTGAACTGGAATGAATTGTTCTAATTCTGGCATTGAAATCAAAACACTCTTAATTACCGTAATTTGTTTCTCTTGGTGAGTCATTACATACTCTGAGATTGCGCATTACTCAGACCTTGAGTAAGGGTCTAATCCTGCAGGCTTCTTTAGCCCAAACACTTGAGTAAGTGAGCTAGAGTTTTGCTTGGTGGAGAACAAGGCCTTTACCCTAGCGGAGAGCACCTACATGCTCTCCAGTCCCCTCTCTATCCTGCAGGATCTTATAGTTACACAGCAGGGGAAAAGCGCATTCTCATTATGCACTGATGTAAGGAGACTACCTTATTTGCTAAGCCCTTGATACTGATTTTTTTAACAGATTCTGTTTGCTTAGAAGAGATCTTCCAGGCTCCACCCTCCTGCAGGAATGATGCAGCCCCATGTGTGATACATGGCGGGCCCAAACAAGGACACAGAATTTGGTCTCTGCTCTTGCTCCTTGGACGAAGCAACCTGAGTCCTTCCATGCTGAGCTCAAGCTGCTCCTTCTTGCATGTTCTGCCAGACTGTTCTGCAAGTACTGCATTGGCCACTCCACTAGGCAGGCAGGGCAAATGATCCAAGGACTTTGACCATTTCTCCCTTCTCTGCATTCCCTGGTGGGAAGGGGTGAGAGGACAGGAGATACATCCCAGCTGTGCCTTGTAGCACTTAATGCCATGTATCGCATCCTGGGGCTGCTTGGCCTTCCAAGTTCAGAAGCAGAAATAGAAACACGGGTAATGAAGGAAATCGCTGCCCAATCACTAATGCCTTATGAGGAACCTTGAGCATGCTGAAGAGAAAAGTACCTGTAAGATAATCAAGGCATTCCAACAATTTCTTCTCTCTGGTAAAATCAAGTGCGAAAGTATCGAAAGTATCATTGAGATTAATTTCAGGAATTAGAACCTGGGAAGACGCAGTCGCCATGGAAACCCTATAATGAAAAGGAAAAATATCTTAGCACACTCAAATTGCACAGTAGCTTTCACATCAAAGCGAGGCCTAATCAACATTATCAATTGCATGTCAAAAGGCTTAACAAAAAAAAAGTCTTTGCAAGTGTTTATATTAGGAGCTTCTTTTTTTTTCTTTTTTTTTTCTTTTTTGAAAGTGAAGACTGGTAAGAATCTATTATTACTTAGCTTTTACTTAGTTTGTAGAGTTAGATATGCTGTTAACAAGGTATTAAGCCATCAGTTGTTCCTTCCACTGAACCAGGTAGCATGTTTTTTTCATTTGTGCTTGAAGCACTCCCACCAGATGCTGTGTCTCTCCCAGCCCTTGTTTTCCCATGTCATTCCTAGCGCCAGGCCCTCCTTCCCACCTCAAGGCTCAAGGGCTTGAAGCAGCTCACAGCACCTCCTCAGCAGTTAGGCCAGGCAAACAGCTCTTAACTTCAAAGGGTGCAGGGAGGGGGAGGCGGGGATAAAACAAATAGAGGTCAGGACAGTTTGTTTGGAAAAGGCTTTTTCCCTGTAAAGCAAGCGTGCATGTTTACATTCTCTTCAAAACTGAAGGATTTTTTGCCTAGCTCATTCCCAAAGCTACACCCACTTTGAGTCTGCCCAGCATTACTAGTAGTACACAAATTTTTAGAGAAGTGCAGTCAAGATGTACTTTGGGGACCTTTCAGCTTGATAGCTCAAAATGCATCTTATTGGAAAGCTGGATACTGGGTATGTTTATAGAAAGTTCAGAAAAGAATTCAGGTCTGTTAGGCAAAGGGGTCAAGTCTTTTCTTATACAACAGAAATTTGTTAATTGTTTCAGTTTTGAGCTAAATATACAACAATACACACAATGCACCCACTTGTTACTTATGACACGTCAGATCAAAATATTTTGATGCACACAATGCACCCAATTGCACACAATGCAATGACACGTCAGATCAAAATATTTTGATTGCTTTAATTAAGTTTCCCAACTAGAGCATTTCACTTTAGACCTGGCTCTAATTCTTGCTAAGTAGGAGCTTTGTTTTCACGTATTTCTCCTCTTGTATTTTAGGACAACACAACCAGAAAAGATAAAAACTGAGTTGTACAACTCATTTACAGTTTTTACAGTTTTTAGCACAGTTTTCTAGAATTGAACTGAGAAAGCCTCCTAGTCAAAAATTCTTGCAGTTTTTAGCACTGTTCTTCTTGCAATTCTGGCTGGAGAATGAAGTCCAAAGTAGATGCTGCTAGAGATGGTTTTAGATACGGTAAATGAATTACCTTTTACCCTGTGGTTAGTGAAAAAAAAAATTCTCTGAACTCTTTCACTTTTTTTTTTATTGCCGTTTTTCCCTATGGGTCATATAAAGTCACACCACCATGTTTTCATATCTAATACAGAAGACACATTTCTTCTCGGCCCTGTACTAAGGCTAAAACTCAGGTTTATGCATACCTCTAAAATTCAACAATAGCCTTGCCAGGAAGTCAACAAGCAGGAATCTAAGCAGAAGAGCTTCTCTTAATGTCTACATAAAGTATATATTTATTATGAAAAAGACCATACCATCAAGCCCTTTTGGGTTATTGTCTGGGGCTATGCAAAGAGTGCTTTGTGAGTAAGCATATTTAAGTCCACTTTTGTGAGGTTAATAGTCTGCAGTTTCATAGACTATGTCATCATCTTAGGTTCAGAAGACTGATTTTCCTCTTTTTTTCCTCCTTTATCTGACACTGCACTTGACTAATAAGGGTTTTACTATGGTAAATGCATTTCACCCTCAGCAAATAATACATGACCTAAGTCATTGTATTGTGTGTAATGCCTTTGCTGTATAAAGTTACTTGTTGTACTTACAATGGAGAGCATTATCCTGCAATTACTTGGAAATGTGCGCATGAAGAAGTGGAATGAGCATGATTTTGGGGACTCTTTTAACTGCTGGAACTGAGGCCTTGGAGAGGGTGTTTCATGAGTAGTTTAGAAGCAAACAAAATTTTGAGAATTAAGAGGGAACTTGTGGGGAAAAATATTAATCAAATTTAGTCTCTTTTTCCAGTTGCAATTTGTCTGCAAGCACTTTGTGTTATTCTTCTCAATTTTATTCACTTGAAATAATTCTCTGGTTTGCAGGGCGTTCACAGCCATCTCATTACAGATAGTAATCCATGATAGCCAAGAATTAGACACGACTGGATACATAAGCCAACTGGCCTTATTTCTGTTCTCTGAGTGTCTCTATTGTGACTGTATTTATAAGGCAACTATTCATGTTTACAATTTCAAAACGGAATTTCCCTGAATATTCTCTGGTACTCAGTTAAAAGTGCCTGCTGTTTATTACATAGAATACTGAAAAAGTCCAGAATCTCACCAAGAACATTTTACTTATTTGAGATTGTATATTTCATGGTAGTTCTACTATTGCCTTCAGCTGGGAAAAAGAAGTGTCACAGTTGAGCTTGGTGACAGAATACAAAACAAGGTCCAACAGTGACAGAACAAATTTAATCTCCTGCAGTGAACAAACTTCACTTTGGTCTCTCTCTTTCTTTTTATTTTTCGTCTCTCTGGACCAATAACCAGCATCCTAGTGTTGCTGGCTTATTCAGAACTTGATTAAAATAGCTTTGGTGAAGTTTAATATTCCAGGAATCTGCACACAGCACTTCAAAGGAAGTGATAGAATTTTAAAAAATTAAATAATAGAAGATGGTAATTTCATGACCTAGATTAAGCCAAATTAGGCCATACCATGTGAAAAACTAAAAAACATAAACCAGAACTTTAAGAAAAAAAAAGTTGAACAGATTAAGATACTTTCAAATTATTATTATTTTTTGTTCATTATCATGAACACATCATTCTTTTGTTTCTCACTCTGATGGCTAAAATAGCAGATAATTCCAGCAGAACATTTTTTCATCAGAAAACACTGCAGCAGTGATAGTATTTCAACATTTACAATGCTGCACTGAACACCAACCAATTTTTTGACAGCCCACTTTTCTGTAGGGGTTTGCTCACATACCCTTGGGTTCTCAATATATCTGGCAAGCTGAAAAGGAGCTAGAATCTTGGAAGCTGTAGAAGTTTCCTACACACAGGGATCCAGCACAGCAACTACCCTACCTGCCTGACATCCAGCTTTTCAATCTCTCAACCCTGAGTGGCCTACCAGAAAGGTGTGCACTGCATGGTCCTGAAGTTAAACATTACCTCACCTTGACACTTGCTATTTCACAAGAAATGTCAGGCAAGATCATTGCAAACTTCAGCTACAGGCTGCATTGCCTGTTTTCATTCTCACTCTCAGATTTTTCCATAAAGTGGGAATTGCAGTCTCTAGACATCTAATTAGTATGCTTAGTGCCAGATCTCTGCTTGGTATCTATTGATATCCATGCTATCTCCTTCATTTGTGCTATATTGTTCAAAGTCTTAGTTCACGCTCATTTTTGATGATCCTTTTTCAAAGGGATGTTTTTATTTGCCATTATAGTCAGGCCCTTTCTATTCCAGTACTGTACAAAGCGGTGGTACTGTAGCAATTCTTTCCTCCCTCTTTAAGCACATCTTGGTGGAACAAGTTATTACTGCAGCTATGACAAGCCACCTGCCTTAAATTTAGGTTCTTCTGTTTACCCAGAAGAACCCGTTTACTCTTCTTTACCTTTCAGTGATGTTTTTAGCAGTTTGCAGGAAGCGAGCGTGGTCATTCTCCTTCAGCGACTGCTCGGCCTGAGAGATGAGGGATGTCGAGCGTTCGATGCACTGTTTGCAGTTTGCAATCTGCTGAGCCAGTTTCCTCAATCTCACCACCTTGAATGGAAATGTAAGAAATCAGTCACTCTCTATGGTCACAAATAATGATCACACTTACACTTCCGAAGCAGACCTACCAAGCAAAGGTGGAGCAGGAACAAATAGATTTCCTGAGAAAGACTGTTTTCATGTTAGCCTCATGGGGAGCCCCTTCCTCTAGCCACTTTTTATGAAACTTTTTATGAGGGACAAGCACAGCCTTTCTGCCTCGACATTTTCCATGCAGAAAATAACAGAGGAGAGCCAAAATAAGCACAGCTGGCCTATTTTCCTACAGAATAAACGTCATTTCCTGGCACTTTCTGCTTACATGATAACTAAAGGCTATTTAGATAACCATTTCCCTAAGGTGACGAGAACTGTTAAGAGCAGCTCACAAATTAACTACTTTTTGCATTTTCATAAAAATCATCTAAAAAGAATACTTGATGAAAAGGACTGTTCACTTCCACTAACAATATGTATTTGCCTTTTTCATTATTTGTTTCTAGTCAGGCACGGTGCTTTCTTGATGGATATTTTCAGCTGGACAAAAGCACAGTAGCATTGAAGACCTGACTATTATTGCTGCAAACACAGGTACTGGTGATAAACACATTATATGTGACTGTAATCACTAGCTGAAAGGTTAGGGAGAGGCAGAGTCCATCTACCACTTAAAGACAATGTTGGATAGCAAAACTTTTGGTTCCTGAAAGGTCTGGGAGTCCTTCCCATTTTTATCACACCAGGATCACCACTACCTCATAGTTTGAACAGGAATAAAAAAAAAAGGAAGGAAATTAAATAAAACCGTAGTTCAGAAAAGCATTAAGACCTAGTTACACATAAAATGAGGAAACTAACAAGTAAGTGGATTGGCAGAAAGGTCCAGATTTATAATCAAGATAACATTCCCAATCTCAGTAATTAAGGCATAAACTTTGAAGCTGCTGAGTTTAATTTCAGATATAACGGCAAAAGGAATTTTGTATTGTAAGCAGAGATTAAGGTACCATATTGCACCTATACAACATCAGACAATGTCAGAAAAATAAGGTTTTTGGAAAACTTTAGAAGGAAAATACTGACCAAAGGATGTGTGTATTGCAATTTTGGTGTTACTTTTAAAGATGGAAATAATAAAGAGGTAAAAATGCTGGTAAAGCATGAAGATTTTGATAATACTAATGATTTGATCAGCTTCTCAGATGCACTAATACCATGCCACATTTGCTGTGCTTGACTTGATATAAATATGGAACATTCTAATGAAGATTCTTGTGAAACATGGTCTTTGAAGAAAGTGTTCCAGAGTAACCTTTCAGCAAAAATTGTAAATAGAATAACCTGCCAAGGTTATACTGATCAAGCAATCTCTGCTCGCAAAATCACAGACTCGCCCAGCATTAAGGCGGGAGAGGTCTTTAAGTCTCTAGTCCAACTTCCTATTCAAAGCAGGGCCAGATCTGAGGTTACACTGGGCTTCTCAGGTTTCCCAGTGGAGGAACCTATTTAGAGGCAAGCATTAGTGGAGGCAACTATTTAGATGCTTAACCAGCTTGGAAGAAAGCTTTCATTTCCCCCGCTGATTTCTAGCCTGAACCTCTTTTATTGCAACTTGTACCTCTCATCTGCCTCCCTCTAGCTGTGCCCCACTGTGTGGACACCAGCTCCGTCTCCTCGATGACCCCTCATAGGCACTGGTGGGGTCTGCGCAGTGCCCCCAAGGCTGTCTCTTCCCCGTGCAGAGCAAGCCCAGCTCTCCCAGGCTCTCCTTATGGGACAAGTGCTCCAGACCCCACCGCCCTGGGGGTTCTTTGCTGAGCTTGCTCCAGTTTGTCCACATCTTTCTGGCACTGGGGAACCCAAAACTGGACACAGTACTCTAAAGAACGGTCTAGTGAGTGCCCTGTAGTAGAGATGGATCATCACCTTTGATTTACTGGCCATACTTCTATTCATACAGCTCGGGATGCTGTCAGCTGTCCTACTCTGCTGGCTTATGTTTTTGCTGTTAAAGACTAGACTCCGTGGTCACCTGGTGGACGTCTCAATAACTGAAGTACTCATATGAGTAAAGGACCTAATGGACCTAATTTTTCATAAACACGTTGTGAAGCAGAGACAATTTGGAAACAAAATGTTTAACTCTTGTTAACATTCTAGACACTCAAAAAGGTTAATGTAGTGTCCTGTGGGGAACAAGATGCAAACATCATACTTTGCCCTATATCCATCTAATCAGGAGTGGTTTCATTGCAATACTAGATAGGTCACCCCTTTATACTTGCATTAACTAGCCAAGCAAACGATGAATTGAAATAAATGTTACCTCACAAGGTTTTAGCAATCAGAGAGCACCTCATGGTTTCTGAGCTCTACATGTGAGCTTATTTTTTTAGTTTGATTTTTTTATGCATCCTCTTCAGGGAGACCACTGATGATAAATCTGAAAATGAAGAGTTTCCCTTCCCATAGGGAACCTCTGCATTAAACTTATCCTATCTATCTGATATTTAAATGCTGGTCTTTTTTTTTTTCCTCATTATATGATCTATAGGATTTAATAGGTATTTAGTGATAGGTAACATCAAGAAGAGAACTACATCACATTGTCAGACACATATGTCTGAATCTGAAGCTTTGCAGCCATAGTTAAAACTTTACTTGAGTATTTCCAGCTCCACCTTCCAGAAAGACTACTGAGAGTTCCTGTGGCTCTTCAGATCTGCTGGCCAATACAAAGGAAGGGCTCTCTGAGTGATGCCTGAACTGTGGTTATTTTAATATTTACATAATTGGTTATAAAGGACTAGCCTGATTCCTATTTTAACAGCAGATGACCTTCACCCTACAATTGATCCTGTCCGTCTAACCCAGCATCTGGGGTATGAAGACAGACCAGTAGTCAAGGCACTTACACTTTCTCAGAGTACCTCCTTCATAGCAGTAAGTACCTCCTGCACAGTGGTCTGTAGCTGAAAGATGGCCTGAACCTCAAGTGGTGTTGTAGTATGTATTTCTGCATTTTTATTCAGTTCCTATTTTTTTCTTCAAAGTATTTTTCTTCTATGAATTAATCTAACTGTATTTTGTATCCAGGAAATCTTTTTAACATCTACAACATTCTGGGCCAAGGTATTTCAGAGTCAAACAAAGCTGCTTTTCAGAGTTTAACAAATGCCTCCTTTCCAAAGTAGAACAAACAATGGGGAAAGATTCTGATATTCACACAAAGCAGGAGTCAATTGTATTATAAATCTTCCATACTGTAACAGACATTAAAATACAGATTAGCAACCAATGGATTCATTAAAAGCGACCTGTGTATATAGCACAGATCTAAATTTATGGAAAGTTTTCTACTTCATTGGAAACACAGATGGTCTCACTGCATAGAAAAAAAGAGTTGGAACAATAACACAGAAGATGATTGTCTTTTTCATTTTGAATAGAACTGTATTTTGTTAACAGCATGAGGAAATTCAGGTTCTGTCATATAATATACAGGCACTGTAGCTTCAAACATGTTTTAGTCAGCCCTTGCCTACAGGCTTTCTATTTCAAGTTAATTGGAGTATCTTGACAGTCAAATGAACCATTTAACCTGCTCTTGACTTTATTCCTTTCTTGAGTTTTTCCCACATAAGAAGAGTTTATACTTGACTTAGCTGTTTTAGCAGTTAAAGAGTAAACTCCATGTACCAAGTAAATAGGAATGCTAATCTAACTTTAATATGTTTCTGAGTTAGCAGGTAGTTAGCTCAATGGGTTGAAATTTGAATTAGTAACAGTGATTTTTCCTGCCCATTACATTTTTTGCTAACAGTCATTACACCTCAGTAATTAGAAATGCATACTTCATTTCATTTAATGCATGTTTGTGCATATATATACTTTTTGTATAAAAGTAAGATTTCCTATCCCCCAAAAGACAACAATTAAAACTCAATGTTCATGTAAAATTATTTTCTATGAGTATTTTAATAAATAATTAAAGTATGTAGGTTAATGTGTTCATGCAGATAATTGCCAGCCACAACAGCAAATGCTGTGGCATGATGAACACTTACTTTGGGGATGCACTGTCAAACATCCAACAGAGTGAAGGAAGCATTAATCAGTCATCAGTTTATCATCATCATCTACTGATAGTGAAATCATTTCACTGTTTATCCTTAATCAAAAATGCATGTTTAAGAAGAAATGCTAAGCAAAGTGGTGACTTTCAACTTACTACAGAATCACAGAACGGTTAAGGTTGGTAGGTGGTCGTTGGTCTACTCCAACTTCCCTACTCAAGCAGGATCACCTAGGGCACCTGCTCAAGACTGTGTTGGCAGATTTCACTCCTCTGTATCCAAAAGTTGTAGTGGCCAGAAGTGCATAAGGATTCTTACAAGTCTGTATTAGCAACATCTAAAGACAAAAACTCATAAGAATGTGGTACTTCTATTGACCTACCTGTGAGTCAAAGTAAGAAAACTCTTACCTTTCCTTCTTTGATTTTAGTTCCAATTATTTGTCGCCTTTGTTGAATTATTTCAATGAGCTGGTCACATTCTTCCATCAGCTTTGTTTCTTGCCGGGATGCATTTACCTACAAAGCAAACCTTTCTGATTAGCAAATTTTTTAAGATAGTTTCAATTGTCTAATTTAGATGTTGTAAGGTGGGTTTTTTTTTGATTTTTTTATTCTGTTTAGTGTAGCATGAATATATTCTTTCCCTTCTACTGTCTTAGATTTTGTCTAAGTGTCTTGTCCGTGCCCTTTGCAAGAGGTAAGACTAGGAAACATACTTACTGGCTATTTCTAACTCAAGTGAGATAAACCTGTGAGGTTTGAGTGATGCCAGTTACAGCTGACATGAGAGAAATGTGAGAGTTCTTCAGCCTGTGATAGATTCAAACTTCACATAGGACAGAAGTGAAAACTAGTGCATCAGGCAGTCCATCTAGTGCAATATCTTCTCCCTGCCGCTAGTGCTAGCACCTGCTAGTGGTGCATGCTGAAAGGCCAAGCATATACAATCATTCCCAAGGGTAGCTACACAACCTCCAAACATTTGCAGCTCAGAGTATCCTTGAAACAGACATAATTTCCACATATCTAGTAACCCACATAAAAGTTCTGTCCTGTGAACTTACTCAGTTCCTCCTTCAGCCCTGTAAACTTCTACCATTCCCACCATCCTATGTCAATGCCTAACTTGTGGTTGCATGAACAATTATCTCCTACAGGTGGCTTTGAGCCTGTTTCCTTCTAGCTGCATTTAATGACTTCATATTCTCTTACAAGAAAGGCAGTGAATTCCTGATACCTATCCACAATCTCTGTGTCACTTGTGATTTTATAGCTCACTTTTATCACTGTTTGCAGGGCTTATATTCCACACTGAAGAATCTCACGTGATTCAGCTATCCTGTATGAAAGACTTTCCACATATTTGATCACTCTTGTTTCCCTTCTCTGAAACTTTGCCAGGTCTAGTATCCCCTTTCTCATATGGGGAACAGAACTGTACTAAGCATTCAAGGTGCAAATGAACTATGGATTGATATAGTGGCACAACATGTCTTTATTTTGCCTTGATTCCTTTCACAACAATTCCCAATATTCAGTTTGCTGAACTGAATGCTTAAATATATGGTTTATTTTTGTCAGTATCCAAGTTACCAAAGTTCCAAATGTAATTGCTAACTCCTGTATTTGATTGCCATTTATTATTATTACTATTAGTATTACTATTACTTTTCCTCATCAAAGAATCAGTTAGAAAACAATGGCTGTGCTTATGTACATATCTGTAGTATATAATACATATATATAACATATATAATATATACATAATACGCATGTGTATAGGCATATGAATAGTATATGTAGTGTATGAGCTGCTGAAACAGTGAACTCCAGTGCAAGAAAAAAGAATAATTAGTGTTCTATGGAAAATGTTAACTTTTTGTTAAAAAATAATAAAACCGAAAATAGAAAAACTCTGTTTCCCAGAGGAAAATGTTTTGTTCCTAGTAGAGACTGAATTTTTCAAAAAAAGGTCAACATTCTGGATAAGAAAAATGAACCTCCCCACCAGCAGTGTATTTAACTTTTCTGTATGTGCAGAGAGGCGAAGGCAAAAAGTTCCAATCATTTTGAGAATAAAGAAAAGCAAAAGCAGGGATTTCAGAGCTGTGCTCCCATACCCACTTTTCTCAGAGGTTTAACGAAGCCCTCAGCCCAGGATGTTTTCTCCCAGAGCCATGTCACCTTTTCCTTTGTGCTGGCAGAGCTACCAGTAAACCACAACAGGGAACGGTTTCAGGTGAAAAATAACCATTTTTCCCCCTTGGTTATTTCCAGCTAGATGAACCCTTTGATCTGACTCAGCCCCCTACTTTTCCTTCTAGCAATATGCTTAAACATGTATTTACCTGGAAGCACATTATGGAGCTCATTAAGATTAAGCAAATACCTAAATTTGTGCCAGGGCCAATTTTACAAAATTCCATCTTATATGAAATACACTGTACCCTCTGGCAGAAAAGGGGGCTTGTTTACAAAGCCCTGCTTTCATTGAGGTTTTGGATTATCTTTCTCAATCTTTCACAAAATTAAAGTTTAATCACATATTTCATAGGCTTAAATATTAATAAAGCTATCAGGATTATACAAAGAAAATTTTTCTGTTCCTGGAAGGGGTCAGATGGTACTGAGGGTGCTGGGGAGCTCTGTGCACAGTAGGTGAAAGCATAGGAAGCTCTCCCAAAACACGGCTTGAGGTACCTGTCAATCTGCTAAGCTCTGTACCCTGCTGGACTTCCTGATGTGGTTGGGAAGCATGGAGCAACTCAGACCCCAAATCCCCGGTAGCCCCTCTCTCCTAGGAGAACTGGTCAGTCAGCATCTCAGGCTTCCACAAATGCCCAAAACTGGGCTGTCTGAGGACTGTCTGTCCTGTTTCCCTCTCCCCTTACTCACTGTATTTTGGTATGGACTTATACAGGGCTACTTTCCACAAGCTTTTCAATGCACAAGTTTTCCTTGCCTCTGACTCCTGTTTTATTAGTGGCTTGAAATCCCATAAGGAACGAGGAATTCTGATTTGACATAGTCTAGGGCAACCATCACATTTACTATAAATGGGTGCAGTTCCTTTTAAGTCAACAGTGAGGCCGACCTATGCCAAAGCTGTCTTTGGCGCTTAATTACCATACCATTTCACAGGATTTTTGACTAGCTTCCACTCAGAGTGTTACCTTTATCACCATTTATATAGTGGATTCATTTTTTTTGGTAAATTAATTTGGGGAGTAACTGTCACATCACAGAGCATTACAGGAAGGTTAAATCAACTGAGTTTCATTTAATGCTCAGTTTGGTTTGAAAAATAAAGTAGCAATTAACATTTTAATTTTTAAAACTCTAGACAAAGGAAACTAAAAAAAAAAAAAGGTTTGCAAAAAAGCTTGCAAAAAAAAAAGCTTGCAAAACCCTGACTGTAGACTTCTCTTTTTCTTTGAAATCTGAAAAGTATACTCCTTTATAAACTTTATTTGAAGACATTTTCAAATTCATAGCCTTTCATGAAGAAATAATATTCCAAAGAATATTCCAAAATTATTTTATATGCCTGAACTTAATGTGAAAAGAAATTAAATTCGGGGACTTTTCTCAAGTTGAAATACTCCTTAATCAGATTTTGAGCCTGCAAGGCCTCTGATTCAGTAATAACTTCATAATTAAGCATCTGCCTAACTTTAGGTTCACCATGCTAGCAGGAGGCCTGAAGGGACTGTTTGGGAGATTAACACTGAGTATTATTTATTTGTCTATTTTGGAGGAATCAGACTGAAGTGCCACAGGCATGAAGCAGAGCTCTGCTATGCAGGTGCTACAGAAATACCAGAGTAAGGCTCTGCCTTGTGCTCAAGTCCTTTGATGAACAGCAACCTTAACAATAACTTCCAGCTGGGACTGGCCAAGGAATGTGAGTTCTGTCTGGCGAAAATATTTGAGGTTTTACGTTTTGTATTTTTCCACATTAAAAACAATGGCTCTTTCCAAGGGGTTCACTAAAAGAGATCGAGAGCTGCATTAGAAAAGTCTGGAGACTGTGTCATTCCCCTTGGTTGTGGGAGACTCTGAATCATGCAGAGAACAGGCTTAAGGCTTTCTATATCCAAGATGAATGTCTCTTGTTTAATGTGAGATTTTCATTCCCAGAGAGGTGATGCTGGACTTGGGACACTTTGGTGTCGAAAATTTCACTGACATCAATGCACTTAGTTCTGGCATCAAAATAGTACAAAACAATCTGTGGGAAACCTACTGCCAACCTAAAGCTTTGTAGGTTGTTGGTGTTGTTTAAAAAACTTACTCTTCTGTGCCACAAAACTGTTTTAAAACTGACCTGTAGCCTCGCTACAATTTAGTAAAATTAAGAAATTTTCTACCAGCAAATGAGAAAGGACTGATTCGAGACATTTTTCCTTCATGGAGAATTTATTTCTATTTGCGTAATATCTGATGACCTCAGGCAGACAATTTACTGAAATAAGTCAGAGATCCCTCCAATTTTTTCCAGACAGATGGATAGGGATGGCTGGGCTGGGCCTCAAGGACTGGGTGTAGAAAAAAAAAGAAAAATGGGGGTTCCTCAGATGTGTCAGAGAGCAGGAAACCACAAGCTCTCAGCCCAAGGGGGGAAGGCAGCCAGCTGCTTCCAGCTCCACAGGCTGAGAACTTCTTTGGAAAATGCTGTGCTCTCTGAAGAGGCTTCCTAGATTTTCATCTTCAGAGACTTGAGCTAAATTGCAGCTTAGGTCATAAGAAAATGAATGTGGTGGTTTCAAAGTCCCCAGCAGATGTCTGGGAAATCACAAAATTGCAACACGGCTACAGCTCAAGATTGCAGCTGAGCTTTTCTGTTTAATTCAAAGGCAAAAACAGTGTGTCACAGGACTCATTTCACACTCATAAAAAAAAAAAAAAAAGAACTTATGTAACTAATATACTAAAATCAAAGGATTTCTTTTTCAAGAATTCCTCCTGTAGGAGCAAAACTTTCCTTTTTAGGTGAGGCAGTTTTGCCTGCAACTGGAAATGTCCAGTATACTTCTTTGAAAAACATTGCCCAAATGACACAGTAAGTCAGGAGTTGCCTGGGTTTTTAAGACTATGTTGTTTGGGATAAATTCACCCAAAACTTTGGTGATTGAGTGATTTTTATTCACCAGTCCTTCTCTTGTTATGTACAATAAAAGAAAGTTATGCAAAATGAAAGAAAGGTTGTAGGAAATGTTTGATGTTTGGAAAGTGAGTTATGCCATTTGAATTTCAGCTTTATCATTTACACATAGCCTCTATGCCTCAAAAAATAATTGCTTTACATACCTAGCCATACAGGTAAAGAAAAGGTATTAGGTTTTCTTTGTGGGACTGAGGTTATAGAAATACTACATACTTAACACACACACACACCACCAAAAGAGAAAAAAAAAGTAAACTGCAATAATTACACTTAATACTTAGGCTACAACTGTAACACTATTACCATGTCTTTTTCTTTACATTTGGGCCCCAAATTTCTTCTTACAACA